GATGGGCTGTCCCGTTTGGGGGGGTTTCCAAGGACTCTGTGGTGAGATGGGCTGTCCCGTTTGGGGGGGTTTCCAAGGCCAATATGGTGAGATGGGCTGTCCCGTTTGGGGGGGTTTGCAAGGACTCTGTGGTGAGATGGGCTGTCCCATTTTGGGGGGTTTCCAAGGACTCTGTGGTGGGATGGGCTGTCCCGTTTTGGGGGGGACTCTACCCCTGCCCTGACCAGCCTGTGCCCTGTAGTTTGTACTCTCGGGGTACAGGCAATGTACCAAACTGGGGATGGGTCCCTGAGAGCTGGCGCGGGGGCACCAGGATGCCGGGGTCTCCGTCTGGCCTGGCTCTCCTGCCGCGCGACTGGCGTAACGCTGAGATGCTCTTGGCCCCCAGGTGGTGGTGTCAACGACGGTGAACGTGGACGGGCACGTCCTGGCGGTGTCCGATAACATGTTCGTCCACAACAACTCGAAGCACGGGCGCCGGGCGCGACGGCTGGACCCCTCCGAAGGTGAGCGCCCCCAAGCTCTGCCGGAGCATCCAGCTGTAACGATGCTGGTTCTGGAGGGACCCAACTGAGAGTGCCAATTCAGGACAAATTGCTTCAAGCAGGGCAGTTACAGCCCCAGGCTGGGGTTTTTCCACCTCTAAGGCACCAAACCAGCCAGACAGGGAGGACTTTGGTCTCACCCCACTGGCTAACCACAAGTCACACAAGCAATTCCCTTAGACACTCCAGTTTCCCAGTATCAGCACCAGTGCCACGCGTTATGGGGATAAATGGTTATGAAAACCAATACCCCAGTAAAAGAAAAAAGGTTCTCCCGATCCCAGAGGACCAAGCCCCAGACCCAGGTCAATATACAAATCAGAGCTTACCCACAAATCACGCTGTTGCCAATCCTTTAGAATCTAAAATCTAAAGCTTTATTCATAAAAGGAAAAAGATAGAGATGAGAGCTAGAATCGGTTACATGGAATCAATTCCATACAGTAATGGCAAAGTTCTTGGTTCAGGCTTGTAGCAGCGATAGAATAAACTGCAGGTTTAAATCAAGTCTCTGGAATACATCCCCAGCTGGGATGGGTCCTCAGTCCTTTGTTCAGAGCTTCAGTTGTAGCGAAGTCCCTCCAGAGGTAAGAAGCAGGATTGAAGACAAGATGGAGGAGCTGCAGCAGCTTTTTATATTCTCTTGCCATGTGGTCTTTCTTTGTTCCAAAGACAAGCTGTCCAGCACATGGCCTGGAAAAACCTTCTGTCCATAGGCATGTCCCTGCCTTGCTGAGTCACAAGGCGTATCTGCCTTCTCTCAATGGGTCAGTTGTAGCTGATGGTCCTTAATGGGCCATCAAGCAGGCAAGGCAGAGCTGACACCAACTTGTCTGGGATGTTTCCGGAAGCAGAGCACAAGTTTGAAATACAGACAGTCTAGAGCCAATACTTATAACTTCAAATACAAAAATGATCTATGCACCCAGATAGCGTAATCATAACCAGCAAACCATAACCTTGTCTTAAAAAGCGACAGAGTCCTGTGGCACCTTATAGACTAACAGACGTATTGGAGCATAAGCTCAGACACCTTATTTGACCCCCTTTATACAAGATTTGGGTGCCACTACAGGACCTTGGTTGCAACAATGATCTATACGGTCCCAGTTCATGTCCATAACGTCACACCAGCCCTCTGCTGCACGCCGGGAGCGGGGGGCTCAGAATGAGCAGCCGCTTTGGGAAATTGCAGGGGGTGGCCCCAGCTAAGCGTGCAGGGGGTCTCCGGGCATGGAGTGGCGGAGCCCTGAAACGGCCTCAGAGAGCAGCCCCGAGCGCAGCCCATGGGCAATGGAGCAGCCATGCCAGAGCCCGTGGGGTCCCGCCCTGCCCAGCGTGTTGCCCAGGCCCCGAGAGACACAACCCGCCCAGCAGTCCCGTGAACGCTCCCCTTACACGGGCCTCCCCAGCATTGCACAGCCGTGAGCTCCATTTCCCCTTGTGATCGCACCAGGCCCCGACCCACTCCACCCACCCGGGCCCGCTTTCAAGGCCTGAGCCAGAAACCAGCACCCCACCCCAAAATAAAAGCAACGCGAGCCCTCCCCAAGACCCGGCCCCTGCACACTCCCCATGGGCGGCTGGGCCCGGGCAAGGCCCATCCCCCGGAAGCAGCCAGCCGGCTCTGCGGGCACGATGCCCCGCATTGCAGAGGATCCGACAGACGCCATGCGCCCTAGAAACGGCCTGGCACCAAATCCCACAGCGCTGCCCTGTGAACGACCCTGTCAGCCCCCTGAGGGCTTGCTGCTCCCCGCCCCAAACCTGCCACGGCCCAGCTGCCCACAGGCGCGATGCCGCAAACGGGGCAGCCCCAAGTTCCCGGCTAGCGGCCAGCACGTCCCACCGCGGGCTCCGCAGGAGCAGGGCAACGTGCCCTGTTGATGGCAGTTGCCCGGCGCAGGCTGTTCTGGGACAGATGTGGGGGACCTGTACGTCACCCCAAACACACCGCTCCCTGTACAGCACTCACTGTCAGCGCTGCCGGCCCCGGGGGGGTGCTCTGGGCAGCTGGTAATACTGAGTGCCCCCAGAACCCCAGGCCCAGACCCACAGGACACCCCAAGCCCAGGACACCCCAGGCGCAGGCCCGCAGGACACCCTCGCACCCTCCCTCCTGGCCTGCCAGGGCTGGTACCAGGAGCCCAGCGCATGCTCCCTGACGCTGGCCCTTGCACAGGTCCCTGGGGAAGTGTGTGTGCCCCCCCCCGGCCCCACCACTGAACCTCCACTTGCCCGCCGGGCCCTGGGACCTCTCCCCGCTGCAGCTGCTGTGACACTGCACAAGTCCAGCCTGTGTTCCTTCCCCACCCCACCCCCACTGGCATTTGGGGGCCAGGCCCCCCAGCCGGGCGACATTACGGCCTCTGTGGAACTGCCGGTCCCAGCTGGCAAACCCCCGGCCTCGGCGTCTGCGTCTCCCCCAGCGCTGACCCCCCGGGCCCGGCAGGCGAGACCCTCTCTGGGGCCGGGAGTGCCCAGCGGCCCTGCGCAGAGCCCCACTCCAGAGCTCCCCCCAGCCCCCACCCCGGGGGAAGCTTTGCCCTTCCCACAGGGAACTGGTGTCCCAGCCCTGCTGCCCCCAGGAAGTCCATCTGCCCCCCTCCCTCCCTCCATCCCTCCCCATACACACCCCTTGTGACGATGTGGTTCTGGCGGAACCCAACTGAGAGTGCCAACTCAGGACAAATTGCTCAAACAGGGCAGTTACAGCCCAAGGCTGGGGTTTTTCCACCTCTAAGGCAAACCAAACCAGCCAGACTAAGAGGACTTCGGTCTCACCCCACTGGCTAACCGCAAGTCTCAC